TGCAAATGCATTAGCATTTCTACGGAACAAGTCGCCACATGTTCCAACCCCCAACCTGGATGGCCAGGAGACTGTGTTCGTCAGACCTCTAACCATTGACCAACCTGGTATGAGAGACTCTGTGAGTGTCGCGGGACACTCTCCAGTATAGCTCAATGGATCGCTGAGGTGCGCAAACCGTCACACCACGGTAAGGTCCGGTCTCTTCGTGACGGGTCCAGTCTCTTCGTGGCAACCACATCACAAAATGAATATCCTTTCGAAGCTTCTGAGACGAAGCCTTCAAATTTTGGCTGCACCTATCCTTTGCTATCAAACTTAGTGCCTAACCGGATTAGTGTGTTCCTTATAATCGTTCACTGTCAAATTAAGTCATTATATAAGCACACCACCTGGATCACCATTATTGTGAACGTCAAATCACGCTAAGCTTGCAAAATGTTTCGATGCTATCAACTGGGATCTTGCCACACACATCGAGCTAGTCCCGATTGTATACTCATCAACGGTCCACTTACGTACAACCGAAGAAGATAGTCGTGTTGACGTCCGACCATCGAACGACCAGAATTCTTTCTAAGGTGTGCGTATAATGATGACGCACTGGTGATATGGGACAAATAACGCAGAATATTAACCCAGGAAGACTGAATCGTCTTAAGTTTACACTGGTGACTACAGACTCTGGTACTTTCTATTGTGATCACCAATTCACACATCACGGCATGCTCCCGATTTATCTAGAATTCCGTTTCACACTGTTAAATCACGGAAGCCCTGTTCATCAACGGAGGCTGTAACACACTGGATGCCTTCCAAAAGAAAAAGCATACGATTATGGGGTCGGATTTTAGGGGGCTGAGGATTTTAGACCAGGCACTGCGGATGGCATCTTGCAACTGGGCGGTATATATATCTGAAAGGCGAAAATTACTTTCCTGGATCATAAAACAGCAAACTGCTAAGAGATATGCCAATAAACTGAACTATTCGCCGGCTGTTAAAAACAGTAACGAAGCTATACTGTCAAAAGCGAAACGCTGCCCAGCAACAAATCAACCGATTTTTACCAAGAATTTTAATGACATACCTTATAGCCCTGAATTTAAACACAAGCTATCACGGTATCTACTACAGACGCGCATTAGGAACCGAAATTTCATTCTAAATAAAACCAGAGGTCTTGACAACGTAATACCTCCTTATGAAATACTGCACCACAGTTCCCTTATGCCATTTATTTAATCGTATCATTAAAGAAAAACATGGCCTTAACGAGTGCAAAAGTACCAGAAATTAGGTTCACTATTCGTTGTGATTTCCTCGGATACTCCCCTGTTTCAGGCACACCAATTTTGTCCTAAGTGTCGGAGGGAATGGTGTACGCTCGTGCGGCTCTCGCCGCGCGGCCTAAATCATTTCTGAGCGGAAAGCTTGACGCTTTAAAGGTCGACACAGTTACATACCTTGGTTGTGTCTATCGATTGCCCGCCTGTCAGGACTTCCCAGTTAGGTAGCGCCACAAACGCTTGAAACCTGCTGGACACTTTTGTTTTAGTTGTTGATGGTTGCAGGACTTACAGCACTACTTGACTAGGAAGTCCTAACAGGCGGGACAATCGATTGACACAACCGAAGTAGTGGTTGTTCGAAGCGTCGGGCTTTCCGCTCACATCACTCAAGCACAAACATATTCACCTGTTCAAACACAAAAATTCGGATTCGTCCAGCGTGCGCTGGTGGTGGGGTAACATGCTCGCCTCGCACGTCAGATGTGCGCAGTTCAGACCCCGGCACGACCAATGATATGCACTGCTGATAAGCTATAATAATAAGAACTAAACCCGAGTTCAATGCTTTCCCACTTTGGTGTGGACTCACCAGATGATTGCGCCAGGACATGACATTTGTTCCAACGAGAGCCATGTGGGCGCGCATTCTACAAACCCTGCAACCACCAACAGACCAGACCGCATACAAACCAGAAAGGACCGTCGCTGGTCCACTTGCCTGCCCGGCGTGTAAAAGCTCTTGATGATCTCATCTGTGCTTTGATTCACTTCACTAGACCTTGCAGCCCCGATAAACTTTTGAAGCAACATGCATGGACGAATCGTGTCACTTTTACGTTACTAACTCCACAAAAATCATCCTCATTGAAATCAGTACAGCGGTAATACATAGTGGTACCTAATTACCATACAACCATGAGAGAGGAAAGTCTTAGTAAAGATAGGAATTGTGTCTTGTCATTGAAGCCGATCTATGCTGAAAAGCCGAGAAGCACTGTACAGTTGGTTCACCATCTTTGTTCGGTGCGCATCTCACAGAACTCAGAGTTACCAATCCGCGACCTTCCGGCCAGTGCTTAAACACTCAGCTGTTTAACCACGAGGGGGCGATCAGCATGTGATTGGCTCGCCCGTTAGTATAGTGCGAAGGAAATTGAATAAACCCTACATCCTTAAAAAAAAACGACAGGGGATGTGCCTACAAACTTAGGTAGCGTTAAAATGAACACATTTGACCTAATGTCGAATTGATTGGCCATCACTGGGATCTACCTAAAGTAATTGCGAGCGCCAACCGACTTAAGCCCAGTACAGAGCGATAGGTGAATTTTACCCAAACTGTACGTTAGGAAATGAGCACAAACGCACAACTGAGATCGGCTGCGGAATGTCCCGCAAAATTTCCAACCACCTGCAAGCAGGATCACGCGGGCTCCAGGCAGGAAGGCGCAGACTCTACAGCACTGAGTCAGACTGCCATGTTATGGTCTGTCTCCCGCGAACTATGTGCCAACAATCGTTTGGAACAGAAAAAGACGTTTCCATCAGTCGATTGTGATTGAGCTTAAGTTTCGTTTAACGATTCGGATTGGCTAGTAGGTATCTGCTTACTCCACACCACATCACGTACTCGTTACAGCCAGCCGACCCATGATAGGCCCTTCCTCGGACCGACGAGGACCGAGCCACAACCACAGAGCGAGACTGCTCTTGCAGTTGCTTTGTATTGGCACGAGACGAAATCACTTCCCGAAATGGAGATGTCATGGTTGTGGTTACCAAGCTGTTCGGGGGCCAGCCGTCCCTAATAACCGAACAGCACATCATTTGGACGGATGTGTCACGTGCAGGACACGGGCCAAACGAAGGCACGCCATGATCGGTCAGAATGCCAGCCGATCCGAGTCAAGCACTTGTAACTCGACGCTTCTCGCCCCCTCACGCCCCGTCATTTGCGATGCGACGGAACATCAGCCTGGCCATCAAGGATAGAGTGCGCAATGCCACGGCCCGATCCGTCTTACCTTATGGATCAGGAACGTGATTTTTGCTTGCAATAGGTTCACGGAATCTGTATTCAACCATCGGTGCCTCCCGAAACGTTGGGCGGATCTGGTGGGAATATTAGTTTACAATTGTTGAAGTACGCCTGTAGGGTGGGCTAAGTTTTGTGTTCATACCGAGGCGTGCCTAGAACCTGAATGAAGCACAGCTCATATCCTCTTTAAAAAATCCTTAATAAGTATCCACAAGGGCAAGTTAAGTGCACTAACCGCCTCGAAACCAAATTATCCTCGGGAATTCGAGATGCAGAGGTCGGATTCGAACCAGGGCCTTTCGGTAAATTAGCAGCCTCGAAACCAAATTATCCTCGGGAATTCGAGATGCAGAGGTCGGATTCGAACCAGGGACCTTCCGGTCTACAAATTCGCATTCTTACCACTGAGCCATCTCCCCCATCAGATAATGGTGGTACAGTTACATTCTCTTCTAAGAATGGAATAATTTGGTACAAGCTGTCTGCGTACTTCTCGTTTATGAGATTTAATGCATAGACAACAGCTTACCGAAATAACCCAGCAGTTATTGTGATTACCCCAGGAAGCATTATTTATATGCTAGCAAATTTAGTGCTGAAACGACCTATCCTCATCTCCAAGTTGTTAAACTGGTACGTTCTTTAGTATGTTGTAAACAAAGATAGGGGTGTAACAATAGTGTTCACAAAACTGATTAGGATAACCACAAAGCGCCTCTGTTTCATAAGGACGAACTTCACTGCAGTCGAGAAAAACACCAAGAGGACCTACATAGCGAATGTTTTCCGTGAGGAAAAGGAGGTAGACGCATAAACAACCAATTTGTACAATAATAAGAAACGCATTGACCATATGCCTGAAAAAAATAAATGTGACTCCAGCAAGTATAGGAAATCGTGGTACTTTATTTTGCCTTTGGATTTCCGAAAAGGTTCTGGTCCATATTTGAATACCGAGAAGACCGTTTCCGTGTAATCCATTTTTGAACGATCGAGATTATGACTGTTCAGAAACGTTGATATAATAACAATATTAAGTAGCCGACTTACCTTTCGACAACGGATCTCGCCGTCCGAACAACCACATGCATTAGATAGGCGGAGATCACGCCAGCCACAAAAATAAGAAAGAACCCGGTCTAGAAGTGTGAGCATAAGGAAGTCCGAGCTGAAAACTTGCCCAAAGACCGCAATACTTTAGAACCACCGGCATCGAAAGCATTCCCGTTCCAATATTACTCTTGAGAAAACTCATAAGTGTGTGAGCCTCACTGCAGAAAAGTGGTTTCATGTTGTCAAACACAGTATCCTTAAAGTACCTCAGATTTGAGCCCACGGCACAGGCGCCTTCGAGTTCAGTCATAACATTGCTGTTTTCTTCTTCCGTCACGGCAACGCTAATTACATCCGTTTCACGTAATGCATTGCGCACCATAGGTGCCCGATCTGAAGTATCCATCACTTCGCACAATGTCTAGTAGGTATTGGAGCGGAAACAGTGTGTGCGTCATTGCAAAAATAAGTGTGTTTAAAAAAATGGTAAGAATTGACTAGCATGGTTATGTACGACAAAACCTAAATTTCGAGTGATTTCAACACGATATATTGAATACTTGCAAACCATCTAGAAGCTGATGAACAGATTGAGTATGATGACGAAATGATGATTAACGGAAAAATATATGGTAGTTCAGTTCAATTCCTCAGATGTCAACCATATATGTCGATTTCCAGCCTCCAAACGATCTAATACTCAACAAACATGTATACACATAAAATAAAAAAACTGATTTGACTGTATAAATTGGTTATTAGCGTCCGAATCAGTCTTACACTCAACAAATATGAATGCACATACTACAAAGATACTTTCGTCCGGCGTTCTCATGCAAATTAAAGGCCTCATTGCTTAACATACACGGTTTAAACTGTAACACACTTCACAAGCCAATTTTTGTCCTCTGATACACCATCTCCATATTGTTTCCAAACAACTGAAACACTTGACCCCACCTATTATTGTTACTGGCTCAAGGGTGGAGTTTGTGCCTCATAATCATTATCAGCAGGAGCAGCAACACCTGCGGAAGACAATGGTGCTTCGACTTTGAATAAAACCTTACAATAGAAAAGGAGAAGATGGGAACCTAGGGCTAGCCTACATCCAAGGTGCTTACATCCCCAGGTTTCATGTTTTAATCTGTCCATTCCTAGGTTCCTGCCACTCTGAATCAGGTAAGTAAAATAACGCTCTTCTCAGCAAGCGATAACTCGGCATGCTCAACACATGGCCCAGCCACCTTGGCATGTAGTGCTAAATGTACTCTTTGAGTGAAGTACCATTTGTTTCAGTAAGCAGCTATATCCTGATCACCCCATTCAAAATTACAGCTATTCTTCTGAAATATCGATCGTCGAAAATGTCACGTTCACATCACTCTCGTTTCAACAGTCCACATTTTGTCTCGGTGCAAATGCTCCGGTGAGTCCACGTCACACGGGGAAGCGCAGGACTCGAATTACACTCATACTATTGCTCATTAGCATTACATATCATTAGCCTAATCAAAAATTGTCCAGCAGGTCCCGAGATCCTGACAGAGGAGTCACTTGATTGAAAAAACAACCAGGACAGTTAATGGATCTTTGTTTGAAGCGTCGAGCAAACAACTCACTTCGCACGGCCCTAAAAATCTTCCCCTGTTCAGACGTGAAAATTCAAACGTTGTCATAATGATAATGCCACAGTTCAGTTCTCGGTCTGGTCCTCCCAAGCCAAAGTTTTCGTCAAAATAACCATCAAGGGTGCATAAGGTGAAGTAAACCAGGTCAAACTCACATGTGAAAATGTGAAAATAAGTCGTTCAGCTGTAACGCCATTCCTGTGACCAGCTACCATGCTACCCGAAGGAAGCACGAGAGCTGGGATACTGCCGGTTGCCCAAGCCTAGAAAGAAGTCGAGCGGCAGAGGTCGGGTTCGAACCACGGACCTTCCAGTCAGTAAATTCGCACTCTAACCACCTGAGACATCTCGCCCCACATCATCACATGTACAGCGCATCGTATCTAAACTGTATGTGGCGACAGCATTTCGGAAACTCGAGCACATTCTGAACGCGCCAATGGAAACAGGCATTCAGTGAATATGGAATTATAACTGGCTGTTAGGTCCATACTTTCGGTCAGTTAGAGCTTTCTTTGACACCTGACTTGTAAATTGCCCGATTCTGTGTGGGCGAGTGGTTAGGCAGACCTGGTGCAGTGTTCCGCATAAAAGATGTGTCCAGTGTGCCTGAAGAATGGTAGTGAAACGCTCGCCCCACATGCCTGAGGGTCTCAGAAAGTCTCGGGCATTCTGGGAGTATTTTCAGAAATCCGACCTTCCTGACAGCTCTCCTTTTGGCCGTTCAGTTTAAGATTGTGGGCGCGGGTCAACGTGAACGGCTTCCACCTGTTTTCTGATGCGATCAATCCAGCATCTCGGTTGCAACAATGGACTTGTCCTGGGCGGTACCAGTAAAGCAGTGACTATTGGGGGCTTACTTCGGAAGTTCGAAGGTTTCAATCAACAGGTTGAGATGTAATGGTTATTCTTGAGCTTTGGGGATCGGCTACTCAGTCGGCCATACCTGATTGACATGCCGCTTCCAAATAGATGATCCCACCCCGACGCTATAAATCACCTGATCGACCATTTCGAGGGCGACTCAAATAGTCCAACTTCTATACCTGGGGCGATAGCGTCTCACAAGCACACGGAACTTTGGTTTCCTTGCAGTTTATGATTGAAAACACGTGAAGGTTGGCAAGATGGCACCGTGGGTAAGTCTCAGCCGTCTGTTACTCTGCTGGAGAGCGACCATCAAGAGACTGGACCCGCCACGAAGAGACTAGATCTTACCGTGGCGTAGCGGTTTGTGTACCTCGGCAACCCTTTGAGCTATACTGGGGGGGTGTCCCCGAGATACTTCCATACCATACCCAGGTCAATGGGTATACGCCTGACGAACAGTCTCCTGGCCCTCGATGCCTCCATGTCCAATTCAGACTGGCGTAAACAGAGAGGTGGCCGACCCTTGACTTGGTAGAGGAGTATGAAGGAGATCACGAAACGCTTGAGTGCTGTCGGTGCTACTCGCCTACCAGGATGGAGACGGCGTGATCCTCACTGTGCCTGGGTGGAGATATGGCTGCCAACCGATATCAGTGAAGTTCTTGCTGTCAGTTTCTATCCAGATTGCCTGAGTGAATGTCTGGAGGTGTAGGCACCTCGGAATGATTGTGTTAAGCTAGCACTAAGTCCCTTTCCCGTCCACCTTTACTCATGTCTTTACAATAAGGCTTTCAAATAAGTCACGGTTGTACGGCAGTGAAGCATCGGTGTTGAACACTGATGTCATGCTGTCGATGATGATGATGATGATGACTTCTGGCCCTCCAGGTTGACGGCAGCAACAACTTCCAAGATCCATAAAAAACGGTCCACCATTCGCAGTGCCTCTCTCTGGATTGGTAGTGTCATGTTCACTGACAGCATATCCAGAAGCGTGACTTCATATTTTGTGGGTGCAAAGTGCGTACCAAAAAGCGAGATGACTTTGGTTAGTTCATCCAAAACACTAACGCCTTCTCGTCCTCCTCGAAGAAGAGAACGCTTTCATCTGCGTACTGCAGATCGACAACCTTCTCTCCAGTGGTTATTTCAACTCGGGGTTCGAAGACCTTCCAGCATTCGCCCCATTATCGGTCACGAAACTAAATAAGCATGGTGAGACGTTCAGACTGAGTCCGAGAACGAGTTAGAACAGAGTC